TATTGTAGGGAAATGCAACACGCCCTGTACAATGCACAGCCCCCTGAAAGGGACAAAGTGCTGAGGCTTCCCCAGCCAGGTGATGGCGGGTACTGCCAAATAATGGTGGTGGCACCTACGCAAAGAAAGACGATGGGTATTGCAGGGACAGTTCGTGCATGCTGTACATTGCACAGTTACATAGAAGGAACGAACTACCAAGGTTTCCCCAGCCAGGTGATGGCGGGTACTGCCACAAAATGGTCGTGCCACATAAGGAAAAACAGGCGATGGGTACTGCAGGGACATACAACACACCCTGTACAATGCACGGCGAAATAAAAGGAGCAAACTGGGAAGGCTTCCCCAGGCAGCTGATGCCAGGTACTGCCACATATTGGTGGTGGTATCTAAGCAAAGAAAGGCGTTGGGTATTGCAGGACGTGCAACACACCCTGTACAATGCACGGCCATATAAAGGGAACGAATTGCTAAGGTTCCCCAGCCAGGGGACGACGGGTACTGCCACAAAATGGTGGTGACACATAAGGAAAAAAAGGCGATGGGTATTGCAGTGACACATAACGCACCCTGTACAGTGTGCAGCCAAATAAAAGTAACAAAGTGGTAAGATTTCCCCAGCCAGGTGGCGGCGGGTACTGCCAAATAATGCTGGTGGCATCTAAGCAAAGACGATGGGTATTGCAGTGACAAGTGGTGCACCCTGTGCAATGCATGGCCACATGGAAAGAACGAGCTGCCAAGGTTTCCCCAGCCATGTGATGGCGGGTACTGCCACCAACCACAGCACACAGCCACAATAGGCAGCACTCAGGCTTGCTGCACAGAAGTACACGTCCACCGCACCTACATGTCCATCGTGTTCAAGGCGCCCCTGCCTACTTTCCGTTTCAGCATTGGTAGCGCCTGAGGACTCTACGAATACAGTAACATAGGTGGTGAGGGTCGCAGGCAAATCCGGGAGTGAAGTCAATCCCCGGCCATGATCTTCCCACCCGGCCATGTGCCACCAGGTTTCCAAAGTCCACACATAATCCGCCCCTCCCCGGGGAGAATTTCCCAGTAAAGCAGGCGGCCCGAAGCAGAAGCCCACACTATGCCCACATATCACTCGCCGGATTGAATCCACCGACACCCGAGTTTTCAAAGTCCACAGATAATCTGAGAACCCCCCCTTTTCAACACCCCCCGCAGCCTGGAATTCCCCGCCAGAGCAGGCGGTACTGAGGGCGTTGCCCTGGCCACGGGGCGCCGTGAAGCGGGACACCGCGGTATGCTTGTGCATCACTCGGCGGCTTGAATCCGGCCACGCATAGGTTTCCAGTCCACAAGTAATCTGAGTTTCCCCAGCACCCCACTCGGCCCGGAATTTCCGCCACGCCAGGCGGCATCAGGATATTGCCTGCCACAAAGCAGATAGCGCCAGCTCGCATCACCGGATTGAATCCGCCACATAGGTTTTGCCAACAACATCATCCGAGACCCTCAACACCCCCACGTCGAATTCTCGCTACGCAACAGCAAGGTTGCTCAAGCCACAAAGTGATAGCGCTACGGCAGCTCGCATCCATCAAGGATTGGAACCGCCGTCGCCATAGGTTTTTGGGCCAATGATCATCCGAGGTCCCCCAAATACCCCCATGCCCGAATTTCTCGCCACACATAGCGGTATCGAGGGCATTGCCTCAAGCCAATAAAGCAGATAGCGCCATGTTCGCGGTATCACCGGGCGGATTGAAGGCCACATAGGTTTTCGCCAACAATCATCTCGGCATGCCCTCTCTAACAACACCCCACGCCCGAATTTCCCGGGCCATGTTAGCGGCATCGAGGGCATTGCCCTGGCCACAAAGCAGGATAGCGCGCTATGCCTGTGCATCACCGGCGGATTGAATCCGGCCACACACAGGTTTTCAGCCAACAGATCATCCGAGACCCCCCTTCCCCCGTGCGGTCCGGCATTTCCCACCACTGCAGGCGGTACTAAGGGCATTCCCTTGCCTTGCCCATGCTGCGGCTTGAAGCAGGAGAGCGCGGTATGCCTCACCTGGTGGGTCCATGAACAAGCGTGGGGTGGCAGGGGTTGGAGACGGCGGATGGCAACAGGAGGGCAACAAAATATGTGCGCAGTCACAGCCAAGGTCCACTGTATGCGGACCCTGGCTGAGCCATGCTGGCAATCAACCAGATCCCCAGATTCGGAAATCAATACTTACTGCATGGGCTCTGCTGTCATCCGCTGATTCGGTACACACGTCTGCTGTCATCCGGTAAATTAGCGGATGGGGTATGTGGCTTCCGGTCCGTAAGAGAATATTCGTTAACACCCAAGCAGAATCCACAAAGTCCGCTAATTGGGGCCAGCCGTCCGCTGCCATCCGTACCACGTCAGCAACAGAGAAAGTGGGGCCCGCTAAATTAATGGATATTAACGGACGGCAACCCCCGTCCGCTATTAACGGATCCGGGTGGCCACCTCTACACAGCAGATGATCCCACGATACACCTCACTGCGGCGATCGCCTGCCATGGCGCCCATCAATGGGCGGCCAATTGGCGGTCAATCGTAGAGCCACCAAGGTGCCCACTGGCGTGGTTTTCGGTTCGATGCGGGCGGGGCTCCTGCCGCGGCGTCCAATCGGCCCGGATGGGCCTCCTCCGCCGGATGACCGGCGGGCTGTCCGGGGCGCTCGCTCCTTCGGGGTGTGCAGTGTGGGCCCAGGCCTGCAAATGGCCGGGCGCGGGGCAGCCGGGCGCGCTGTGGATGCGCGGCGCCGTGCGGCTCGTGGGTGCAGCCGCGGGGTGCGCGGAGTGGGCGAGAGAATGGAGAATTACAGTCTGACAGGAGGTCGCCCCTTTGAGGGGGTGGCCTCCGCCTGGATCACGTGACAATGCGGCCGCTGGGCCCAACGATAATATCTCATCCCCCAGTACGGTCCGGTGAAGGAGTCTAAAGTACTGGAAATATATCTAACCATAACTCCTCTACCGCTAGCCCAATGGAGGTGGTTCAAGAACCTATGAGCTCCTAATAAACTCTACTTTTATATGAGATATTCAACCGCATTGTTCATTGTACTTTAACCTCCCAGTAACCCAAATACTAGAGAAACATACTACCCCTTGTGCTTTACACCACACCCACAGCCAGCGCTTGGGCTGCCGCGCCTTGGGCCTCGCCCTCGCCCCTCCCAGCATGGATAGCTCATCGCAGGCGTGCTCCAACGTGCTCACTCCTGGGCACTCACTCGTGTCCCATATAAGCACGGATGAAAAAACGTCCGAGAAAAAAAAATGCATCGAACGGAAAGTAGAATAAATGCTAACTTGCACCTCCGCTGTGCACCCCTCCGTGGACGCCAAGGAGGATAGGACGTTTCCAACAAAAAGGAAGGCCATTTATTGCCGCTTGTTTTTTCTAATCAAACCACAGATGCTCTATACTATTTGATCTTTAGTGGGTGCTAAAACGCTATTGCTTGCAACGTGCAAAAGGAAGCGCTGTAAAGGCCAATTGTGCAGTGCCCAAGGCACCAACTCGAGTTGGTGCATGACATCCCCTCAATATGCATAACCTGGATCCGAAAACATGGGTCCAGATAATTATGTTCCATCCCTCAAAAACCTGCCTTCGCTTTTACGTTGTGGTCATTGCACCTATTGGTGCATCGATGGATGCACAGATTGGTACAATGATCGTTGCATTCAATCGTCCAGCAATTGGTGCACGAGTTCGTGCACCAACTAGCGCACCATTTCATGCACTAATTAGTTTGCTTCACTTAAACCTAAAAATCCAAATCCAAGCGATTAAAGTCGCTACGACTGAACATATTCAATTCATTTTCAAACTAGCTTGTATTCAACTACTTGCCAAGGCCTTAAGACCATTTCTATTTGGCCTTAGCACATTATACAATTGTACGTACCGTATCACGACTATCAAGCAATATCTGGGTAGTCCAGCTGACCGCACGATGCTACACCGTTGGGTTAATCAGAGGACCACGCTTGCGCAGCGCACGCGGATATCCGGCCTTGTAGCCACACACATAATTCGTGCTCAATTAACCTTACAACAAATGGCACTTCCTTTCTTTTTTATTTCTGTTCATGGTTGGCTATCATCTCCCATCCTTTCTATCCCTACTACCCATATGAAACATACTCAACTTATTTTCTGATGGTTTTAATAAACTATAATTTAGGAGCAGTTCCAGCCAGCAATCCCGCTACACTATATGGATGCTTCCTTCACGCCACAACTCATATATACTCTGCACAGCCGCCGAAGCTCTATGCTTACACGTGTGACGACTTTATTTTACAACTAGTAATCTCTACACACTAGAAACCGCATTAGCTTCCCCCTTTACGGCCATGCCCAATTTAGTCAATATTTAGAACCCATCACCCCTTAACATTGATCATTATATTTAACAATATTGTGTATATATGGCAATTTGTAGTCCTCTATGGCATCTCCTAGCTCAACTCTGAGCTATTTTGGACATAATGCACTCACGCAACTGCCCATTCTACACCGCCTTTTATGCCTCTGGTTGTATTTTTAAAGTCGAATTGTGCAAGCAAATTTGTAGACAAACTACTCATATACTGCTTTTCTTGTTCATGAGTCCTTTTTTGGCTACATGTAGATGCTATTTCCATGCAATTTCTGAATGCATAATATGCAATGCGTTTTACTGGTCGTCGTAGCCTGCCGTTGAAGACCGGAAAATGAAGTTGATGCCACTGATCGCCACCTGGTGCACCTAACCTAATCAGGGTTGGCTAGAAAACGGGCGCGTTGGAGGCTGGCCATGCAAACCACTGGCGGGATGGTGCTCCTAATGTACTCGTAAGCACGCCCTGCGCTGTTGTGTTGCCCAGCCGACTCTCGAGGCCTGTGCGGCGAATTTGGGCTGCTCGAGGTTGCCGCAAGGTGTGGCGAAGGAACGAACGGAGTCTGAAAGCGAGGAGAAGGCAGCCTGTGGACGATGTGGCGCCGCGCCAGCGCGCTGCTGTCGCGATGCGGCGGCAACCCAATGGTACGCCCATGCCCAGTCCCCGAAATGCTCGAAGGTTCGCCGCTGGCGAGGCAGGGAGGCACCGGATCGCTCCTGACGCTGCGCCTCCACGCTGATGTTTGTTGCAGAGGAGCTTCGTGAACGGTGGCTTCAGATGTTTCAGGTGGGTCCTTTGCCTGCGGCATTCGTCCGCTGGGAATCTGGCGGCCCTGCAAATGGGTGGCTGAGGTGCGGTTTGTTGTTGCCGCAGCGTCTCGGCCGCCGCTCGCGCGGGGAACGAGATCATTGGCATCGACCTCGGGACCACCAATTCGTGTGTGGCGGTGATGGAGGGAAAGGTGCGACGGCGTTGCGGATCTGCTGCCAATGCTCGGATCTGTGTTGGCTGATGTGGACGTGCTGATGCGAGCGTTTGGGCTTGTCCTGACCAGACACCGAAAGTGATTGAGAATGCGGAGGGAATGCGCACCACGCCGTCGATTGTGGCCTTCAATGACAAGGGCGAGAGACTCGTCGGTTTGCCAGCAAAGCGTCAGGTGGGGCCCCACTATCTCCCAACCGCTGAGCGATGGACCTCACGTTTTTGTCAGGATTGGACTCAAAGCATTGCGTGTCTTTGGCTGTGCTGCAGGCGGTGACCAATCCTGTAAACACGGTGTACGCAACAAAACGCCTCATTGGGCGTGTCTTTGACGACCCAAAGACGAAGACGGAAGCTGAGGTGAGTCGGAGCTTGCACAGTGTGGCCCCAAACTCTCTGCCTGCCGTTTCCGCTATCGGTTCCAACGATGTGTTATGGTTGCTTCCGCAGATGGTGCCCTACAAAATTGTGCGGGCTTCAAATGGAGACGCATGGGTTGAGGTGAGCTTGAAGCTTTAATGGCACTGGCCACTGCTGGCATGGGTAACTGGGGCTCCATGCCTTCTCTTTTCCTTGTGCTGATGCAAACTTCCTTTGCTGTGCCGCAGGCGGGTGGTGAGAAGTACTCCCCAAGCCAAATTGGAGCCTTTGTACTGATGAAGATGAAAGAAACTGCAGGTGCTGGGATAATGACAACAAACCTATTGCATCTTCTGCAGCAAACTCGCCTGTTTCCACCCGCGCCGCTCATCTCGCATTTCTTTGCAAGCCCCAAATCCGTTGCGTGCTGTGGTGGCCCGCTGTTGTGCTGTGCATGCAGTTCAACCTCTGGCATCCCAGCCCACTACCTCCTGTCGTGGTCCCTGCCAGGTTCCCTGCCAGGTTTCTGCCTTTCCTGCCTGCTTTTCGATGAGTTTCATTGTGATGTCATCTTGCAGAGGCATACCTTGGACGGAAGGTTGGTGAGGCTGTCATCACTGTGCCCGGTAAGCCACAAGAAACAAAAAGGTTGCACATTAGACCCTCCTAAGAAACAGTTGCTGAATTGCTGTCAGGCTATTGTGCATCCGCCAACTGCCCTGTTGAATCTATTTGAAATGGCCAGCTTACTGTAGCAATGATGATTGTGACCAGAGAGTGTGTCACCCACTGAGGTATTTGTTATGCCAGTAAGGCGTGCATGATTGTTAAGTGGAACGTGCAACAATGAACACATAGCTGCTGTGCCACGCTTGGTGGGTTTTCATTCGCAGACCTCAATGAATGTGGCTGGTGAGTCATTTACATCTGTCCCAAAGTGAGCTGGTGATCAGCGCGCTTTTGTTCAAGTGACCGGTTCAGTCACTTTCTTGGCGGGTTTTGCTGCAGCATACTTCAATGACTCCCAGCGTCAGGCAACCAAGGATGCTGGTCGTATAGCTGGGCTGGAAGTGAAAAGAATCATTAATGAGCCCACAGCTGCAGCCCTCGCTTATGGCGTTGACAAGAAGGAAGGGATGGTGGCAGTTTATGACTTGGGAGGAGGCACATTCGATATATCCATATTGGAGATCACTGGAGGGGTGTTCGAAGTCAAGGCCACCAATGGGGACACCTTTCTTGGGGGTGAAGACTTTGACAATGCCCTGCAGAAACACCTTGTTGACCAATTTATTAAGGAGCAAGGCATCGATTTGTCAAAGGACAGGTTGGCTGTGCAGAGGCTGCGGGAAGCTGCTGAAAAAGCAAAGTGTGAGCTTTCCTCAACGTCCTCAACCGACATTAATTTGCCTTTCATTACTGCGGACAGTTCTGGGCCCAAACATCTCCACATGGCTGTAACACGAGCAAAGTTCGAGTCACTGACCGAGCAGCTCATCGATCGCACGAAAGAGCCATGCAGGCAGTGCCTCAAGGATGCAGGCGTCTCAATGGCAGAAGTGAACGAGGTCGTGCTGGTTGGAGGGATGACACGCATGCCCAAAGTGCATGAAGTGGTGAAGAGCATCTTTGGCCGAGACCCATCCCGTGGTGTGAATCCCGACGAGGTGGTGGCGATGGGTGCAGCCGTTCAAGGGGGGGTGTTGCGTGGGGACAGGAGCGACATCCTGCTTCTGGACGTCACCCCACTGTCACTGGGGATCGAGACGCTTGGGGGTGTGATGACAGTGATGATTCCAAGGAACACTACAGTCCCCACCAAGAAGTCGCAGGTGTTCTCCACAGCTGCAGACCATCAGACTCAGGTTGGCATCAAGGTGCACCAGGGTGAGCGTTCCATGGCGGCAGACAACAAGCTGCTGGGCCAGTTTGACCTGGTGGGTATCCCGCCCGCCCCGAGGGGAATGCCACAGATTGATGTGACATTTGACCTGGACGCTGATGGCATTATGCACGTCTCAGCAAAAGACAAAGCCACCAACAAGGAGCAGAAGATCACTATCCAGTCGTCTGGGGGTTTGTCTGAGGCGCAGATCCAGGACATGGTTCGGCAGAGCGAAATGTTTGAGCAGGAGGACAAGAAGCGGAAGGAGCTGGTGGAGGCCAAGAATGAGGCAGATGCACTTATTTATTCAACGGAAAAGAGCATCGATGAGCACAAGGATAAATTGCCGCAGGAGGTCGTGGATGACATAAACAAGGCTGTGGCTGAGCTGAGGGAGGCAACAGGGAAGGACGACCTGGATGACCTGAAGGACAAAGTGTCCGCCGTCAACAAAGCGTCCATGAAGATTGGGGAGGTTCTAGCACAGCAGGGCAAGGGGGACCCTCCTGCGGGGAGCTCGCCCACTGGGTCATCCTCAGGAGACCAGGGACAGGCATCTTCCTCTGGAGGCCAATGAGACATGTTGCTTGCAGAAAATGTTCAAAACAGCAAGCGATGGCGGGCCAGCACGAATGGCCTGCTGCTAAGCAAGCACAAGGCACAGGAAAAGAGCTGGACGAAATGCTGGGTGCTTGGGGCTCATTCCAGAACCAGAGGCTTTGTTTTATTGTCTTTTTGCCTGTTGTGGGCAATGCATGGTGAAGTGGCACTGCCATCACAACCACCTTGCTGGTAAAGATGCTCAATGAGGGAATGGTCGCTCTGCCCAGCTGAATTGAACTATCTGCAGTGAAGGTAAATCTGCACCTGAGGAATGTACTGTGTCTGCTAGTCTGAACTGCCAACAGTGGCTGTCACACCCCTTCCACAGCAAAGAGCACTACAGTGGTGGAAACAGAGGAGCCCACTGGGAAAGAAACAGGAATTTCATGATGTTCATGGTAGGATAGCTCTTGTGGTTCTTGTGTTTATTTTCGCAGTCACAATTTTGCAGCCATAGCCACTTGGAAGTGTGCATGCACATTGTTGACTTTGCATCCATCCAATACCACAACAACTGTTTGCAACACCTGTATTGTGGCAGTTCTCAAGACACCATAGTGCATGATATGTGGCATCGAGATTATTCTTCATTGGCCAGTTTGTCTCGTGGACCCTGCAAGACCTCCAGACAGCGTCAGAATCCACCAAAGGGAGATCCGTTTTACAAGGAATGATCCCCAGAGAACCGAGTTACCCGTCTAAGCACACTTTGGCTACGTGTTCAACACCCTTCGTCCCATCTATGGGCTTCCAGACCCTAGACACTTTGCATCACACCTTCGGGCCGCACTTCTCCTGTCATTCTTCCAGTTGGTCATCCTTAGGTCTCTACGGTATTGCGAGTTGCGTGGCACCCACTCCCTTGTGGTTTTGCATCTGTCATCTGCTTTGTAGTTTTGCAAACTCTTCTGTGCGCTATCTCGACTTGGAGCAGGTCCCCTGTGCAAGGCTTTTGGATCTTGTTGTCTCGGTAGTATCTCGCCTGGCTCAAGGTCGTCTTCGAATCCCTGAGGGCCGCCAGAGCTCCTTGTGCAGCAGATATCAAAAGAGCGTTGTTCAAATCTGGCAAAAGTGTCATTTTGCCTCTGGTCCCTTGCCACCCTGCAATTCTCGTTGTCAAATGCTGTTGAACGCTTTTCCTCCCTGTTCAGCTCATGTCTTTGACGGCCATCATGGGTAGCTCTGTTGCCGTTGCTGAAATTCTTGAGCATCGGCACACCCACCTCCTCCATGCTCTGGCCCCTGTGTTGGCCATTTCGGCTGGTGCAGCGAATTGTGCGAAAAGGGCTCCTCGTTAGACGTGCTTCTCGCCCTTTCCATTCTCTCCGATGTGCCAAGTCACCACTCAATCTGCCAGGGTCCTCCCTGTGATGTGGCCTCTCAATCACACTTGGCCTTTGGACTCTTCTCGTTGTCTGTCTGCCAGACCTTAGTATGCTTCTCTTGCCCCTTGGCTGGTCCTCAGGGCTCGCTGCAGGTGCTCTCTTTCGATCCAGCTGACGATCTGTTTCACACCCATTGGCGTTGCCTCCCCTGCCACGAGGTGGCGTCAATGTAGATCTCTGGGAGCCCTCAGCAGCCAAGGTCTCCTGCCGTCGTCTTTTGTCGTCATGCAACGTTCCCACAACACTGCCACACTGAGTCTTCTCAACAGTCGTATTTGAGAGGCCCCTGTGCAATGGGAGATCACGTCTGAATTGGGTCACTCCATCGTTTTGTCGGCCTGCTGCAACTGGAGCACATGTGCCACTGGTCCTGCAGTCTCTTTCTCTGTCGTCTGGCAGGCAGGTCTCTCCCCCAGCACGAGGAACCTCCACACGAGCAATGACAACAGCCTCGTGGGCGGTTCCCTGACAACTTTCCCCTTTGGCATTTTCTCCATCCTGTACAATAGCCTCGTTTGTCTCCATGCTGCAGGTACGCAGCTGGAAGAAGTCGTGGTCTGAGGCGTATGCCTTTGGCATCGCGGAACAGCGCACTGCCAGGAGAAGCTTGTCTAGTTTGGTCTGTAGCTCGCAATTTTTGTTCTGCTCCTCCAGCAAGCACTGTCTGCACTTTTCCAGCTCCAGTTTGGCAGTCTTAAAGAGGCAAGAAATATTGCTCACCAGGGTTTCCCTCTCCTCCCTGAGCAACGTGGCCTGTATGAGTTGAAACAAGATTGATCAAAATGTTGGCTTGCCATGACGGATGGCAGCACGTCTCCCCCTACTTCGCCTATGTTCTGGGCCATGAGATTCTCACCTCCTGTTGCAGCTCTTTTGCAGTCTCCTTCAGCACGCTGATTTCACGCTGCCTTTCCCTCAACTCGGCTTCAAGCTGCGCAGTGCCAAAGCGCTTTGATTCGAACTGTGGACCAAAAAACTAGGAGCACAATCGCCTTGTGCTGCACAAACAGGCGGGAGGGATTTTGGGGACGCAGCGTGATAGACCGTGGGAGAGTTGAGGGTTGAGGGGTTCGACGTCCTGGGAACGAGCTCGCGCAGGCTGCGGTTCTCGTGTTTTGCCAGGTATCGCCATCGCGTAGATGCTGAGCAAGAGACGCGGTTGCGGCGGTTACGGCAAAAATCCTGATTGCGTAACGGCGTGAAGATGTGCCGATAAGGGCGCATCAATGCCGCCAAGCCTTGCTGCGCACCCGGCCGGCCACCGGAGGGGCAGTCGCCTGATGGTCGGCCATCCGTCGCGTCGACTGATGGCCCCACTCCGCAGCCCTCACGCGACGCAGGAGGAGGGGCCGCGACCATCTCCGGTTCTCACCTTCTCAGCGGGGCACTCCTCGCGCTGGCCGAGGCAGGGCATGTCCACTTCTGCGCGGACGCCGTCCTTCGAAAGACCAGGGTCGATTTCGCACCGCCTTCCCTCACAGCAGCGCGCTGCGGTCACACCGAGCAGCCCACGCACGCTCAGGAACGACGCCAGCCGCCCTTCCCGGCCGGGGTCCCCTCTTTCGTCTCCGTCCCGTCGACACGAGCCCCAAGCGGCCGTGCGCCCAATTGGTGTGCGGCGTCCTGTAGCGCCTTCCTTGCATACCTGGCGCCCCCGCCCAAATCACGCCCATCGCCCCTAAAGAGGTCGCCGCCATCTTTTAGGACAGAAAGTGCGTCCACAACGGCCCCCAGGATTGGTGAAGGATTGTGGGCGGAAGGGGCGGCCGTCATTGCCCGCCTGGTTGTGCCGCCACCGCGCGACCGCCCTCCTCTCGCCGCCCCCTCCTCGCGGCAGGGCACGCGGGCACGCGCCTCGGTGCCCCTCGCACCCTCTCGGAATCGCCTAGGGTCGTTGCGCGCCACCAGCTCCGTCGTGCAGCGATGGCCTCGGAGAACCCCGCGCCCGATGCCGGCCAGGCATTCGACTTCTCGCCGTGGGAGAGCCTGCTGAACGTGAGGGCTCGGCTCGCCGCGCGGGTCTGCGCTGCTCCGGGCGGTGTCGGCGCGTCGATTTGGTGGTATGGGATGACTGACGGGGGTTGTGGCTGCCGCGCCGCAGGATCCGTCGGTGCTTCAGCTGGCACAACAGCTCCAGAACGACCCCGCGTTCCAGCAGATGCAGAGCGTCCTGCAGCAGAGCTTCGGCGTTCCGGGCGCGCCCGCCGGGTCGGCGGAGCCGCAGGAGGGCGGCGATGCGGCCAAGGAGGGCGCCGGGGAAGGGGCGAAGGCCGATGCCCCGGCCGATGGGGATTCGGAGCAGAAGGAGGGGGCTCCGCCGGTGCCGGGCATGCCGCCGCTTGCGATGGACCCAGCGAAGGCCATGGAGGCCATGCAGCAGCTGTACGCCAACCCGCAGTTCGTTCAAATGGCCGAGAAGATTGGGCAGACGATGCTGCAGGTGGGCGGCGGGGGATGCGTCATTTCCGGCGTATCACGCTCTCGGCGTGTGTACCGCCGCCACCTCTAGAGTTGCGCACTGCCCTGGCTTTTGATCGCGAGCCTTGAATTGAACAAAGTGGCCACCGCTCCCAGGCAATCCTGACGTTTTGCGACTGTCTTGTTGGCGCAGCACAATCCTGTCATGAAGGCCCTGATGGACCCCACACAGAGGGAGGCCATGCAGGGAAAATTTGACCAGTTGAAGGAAGACCCCGAGCTTGCGCCTATCATGAAGGAGCTGGAAACTGGTGACCCGCAGGCGATGATGAAGTGAGGGAACTGTGCCGAAGTCTGTGCGATCGTTTCCCTATGTGCGGTCAATGTCATCCACCCTGTCTCGATTAGTCTTTGGTGTTGGCCATGGAGCCGGCGGTTGTTGCTGGCATCGGTATCGTCTCTGTTTTGTCTGAGTGACGCAGCAATGTCGCTGTCGCACTTGAAGGCATTGAGCTCGTTGTCGTGCTTGGCATTGTTGGAAGCATTGTTTTATGGCCATGAGCAGGTACTGGAACAACCCCGAGGTGCTGAAGAAGTTCAGTGCTGCCCTTCAAGATGTCATTGGGCCCGGCTTTGGGGAGGGGGCAGGAGATGAGGAGGGAGAAGAGGTCCCGAGCATGCAGTCCTATGCTGGGGAAGGTACGTAGCTTGTTGCTGGCCTGTGCTGCTGAAATGGTGGTCCTGCTTTTAGCAACCAGGAATTCAGAATCAACAACGATCAAGAATTCGTCTGCAGGTAGTTGATCATTCCGTATCACAGGAATAAATCTTGGGAGCAAAACAAGGAAAGTTGATTTGCAGCGCGATAAGCACCACAGCTCCCCATTTTGTGGATGACTGTTGGTTGTGATATGTATGGAGTTTCCACTGCTCAAGAAAAGGAAGCAAAAGATTTGCCGCAGGCAGGTGCACGACGAAATATGATAGAAACTCGGGCGCAGTCTTTGATTGCTAGATCGAGCCCAAAATTGCCTTCATGCAACCCTGCTGCTGCACACACAAAGTTTTGTTGCAAGTGTCCCAGTAACCCAAACCAGAAAAGGGGCCAGTGTGTGCTGGTACCAGGCAGCAGCACACAGACGTATTTTTTTGCTGTGGCAAGATGGCAACTACTTCATATCACAGGCAATGGTGACCTGTCGAGGGTGGTTGTGATCTGATCAGTTAGCCTGCTATTTGAGCACAGACTCTCTCTCTAGTAGAATATGTGGGTAAGAGATTTCCAAGGAGCGTTACTTGCAGCAGTACCACAGGCTGTGCAGTTAGCGCTGCCTTACTCCTTTATGCCCATGGGGCCCTCTAAAACTGGAGACTGACTGGTCTACCGATGCGAAGTTGGGATTCTTGTTTCCTAAGCAAGGAATTCCCCACCTTGAGCGGGAGCCCACCAAAATATACCAAGGTGCCATGGGCACTAACTGCAACCCACCCCACTGGTCAATACTTGATCTTTCTAAGATCACATCCCTGACGATCCCTGATGATCGATTATTGCTGGTGAACTGACTGCCACCACGAACTTCTGTATTTGACACCAAGCATCCTCTCATGATTGCATGGATTTGGGATTGGTATTGCCAAATGGTTTGTTTACATGTGCCCCTTCACCCTCACCCAGCCATGCCTGGAAGAAGCAACTGTCTCAATGAAGCAACCCACATAATGCTGGCTCAACCCTCCCATCGCCTTGATCATTTGCACCCTGCAGCTGAGAACGCATTCCCCACACCCCTCATTTTATGCTATCCCCAGTTCAGAACCTTGGCCACTCTGCACAATGCTGATGGCAGCAATACTGCTCAACAGCTGCTCCACTTTCCTCCGATGTTTGGTGTAGGCATCAGCTAAAAAATGTAGCTTGGAGAGCACTGCTTGCAAATTTTGTGCTCCTTCCTGTACTGTTAGCAGAGTTGCTTTGGTAGCCAGACCTCATGCAGAGAGTAACCCCATTGGACAGGTTAGAATGTTGTACCTGCTCTTCCCAAGTTTCTTCGTTTTCGAAATTTCTAACTGCAGTCATCTTTGCAGTCATAGGTTGCGCATGGATGCCGTGCTGGTAGGATTGGAACTGTAAACAATGATAGGATGCTCAAGTGTGCGGATACGCACAAATAGGTGCTCAACGGCTGTGGTGTTCAGGTGTGCTTGGCGTGGCTGCGTGTTGGCCTAGTTTTTGCAATGTTGTGAAGGCAAATACAGTTTTCTGCACCTGACGTCCTGTAGTGCTGTTACTGCAGGGAATGTGGAGAGCTTGAAGGAACTGCTGAAGCAAGGTGTGGATATTGACGACAAAGATGAGGAGGGCCGCACAGGTCTTCATTTTGCCTGTGGCTATGGCGAGATGGAGTGCATCAATTTTTTCCTGGACAATGGCGCAAAGATTGACTCTGTAGACAACAACAAGAACACTGCCCTCCACTATGCAGCTGGCTATGGACAGGCCGAAGCTGTGAAGCTGTTGGTATCAAAGTGAGTTCTTTTAGTAGACAGTCTGTGGATTTGTGCGTGTGAATACCTTAACAGAAGGACACATTATGCAGCATCTGGATGCAACTGTGAAGATTAGAGGGATTCAGCACAATGTCTCTTCGGGATGCCTGTTGAGTCCAGCCCATACAATAGGTGCATGGGGATGGATGTGATTGACTTGGCCTTGGAGAGTGGCCAAGGTTGCATCCAGTACTCAAGACTATCTGCAACGAGTATTTTGCAAGTGGCATTGTAAACTACTGGCTAGTGGGAGACACAGACTGGTTTTGGTGGTGTTTGGCGGTTGCCACATAATTCCCCCATGTTAAGCTGGAGTTGGAGTTAACAATGGTAGTCGAGTTCTCTGTAGGATGTATGACTCGTAGCGCAGCCTGTTTCCAGGAAAAGCACTGTTTGCAGACACGTGACCCAAGCCACCTGTACCTTGACTGTTCCACTGCTTACAAGTTGGGACTAGCAGTGCAGTACGGATACAAAATGGTGATGTGCCATTTGTTCAACTGTGCACTTGGGCTTCTGCAGTTGCCATTGAACCCGAAGTAATGGATGGCTCATATACTCGTGGTGTGGCACGAAGTGGGTTTGAAATACTTTGGCAGCTGCCGCTGCCCGCCCTGCATGTTGTTGCTGACCACTCCCTGTGTGCTCATGGGTGGATGCTGTTCTGCCTTGTGCAGGGGTGCTGCCTTGGACACCAAGAACGATGATGGCAACACGCCGAAGGAAGTGGCACAACTGAACGAAAAGGATGATATTGTGAAACTGCTGGAAGAGAAATAGGGCCAACTAGTATTGGACTCCAGTGGCTCTTGTCCGATTCTTGCTCGTGGGTTCTTCTGTGTCACGGATTTGGATGTCACACTTGGGCGGCATGCTATGTCTGTAGATGCGTATCTAAGGGTTCATCTGCTGATGTACCTGACAGTAGGTTGGTGCCGTCGGAAGGTTCTGTTCATAGGGTTGGAAATTCACTCTCATCTGTACTCCATGTTCAGTATTGGCCGTTTGGTCACCTTGCCACTTTAGACTTGGCAGTGAGGGATGACTGGTTGTGCATCTGCACGTGTTCATCCATGTGGCTGTGGTGTGTGTGCCTATGCGCATCAGAAACCTGTCAGCCTTTGCCCTTTGGTTCATGCAATATGTCCCTTGGCGAAAAATTGAAGCATGGTGACAACGAGGTGGCACATCAAGAAGTGGGTTGGAGCAAGACCGAGGCAGTGACAGCAGTTCATTGTAGCCGTGCTGCTCCTTGGCTCAGGCATCTAGGGGCGCCGTTGTGCGGAAATCATGCCGTCGGCAGTCCCGTGTGGATTGATCCTCTCACGTTGTTTCCACCAGGATGGAAGGAAAGCACCTCCACATGCTGGTCCTATGGTCACAAACGAAAACTCAGAGGTCGGGAAGCACATTTGTATGGCCCACTGAGTGTCAGTAGGTCCAAAGTAAACCCTGTAGTTTGACCCTGTTTGAGTGCCCGTGCCCGCGGGCAGCCATTGCGTCAATCAGTCCCCTGACCAAATGATTGTCGCTTTGAGTCCCTGCGCTGCCGGTGTACGTACAGACGCCGTGCATCAAGGGTGTGAGTGGGGCGACGAGTTCCGCGTGTGCGACTTCCATGCGCGGGGCGATCCCCGTCCGGCCGTTGTTCTGTCCGGCGCGGCGCCCCAGCCGGCGCGATGCTGTCGTCCGGCGGTCCTCGGGGGGCAGCATCGGTTGACATGACCCAGGGGCTGCGGCATCCCGGCTGGGTAAACGGGGGCGCGTCGCCCCTGCCACCAGCATCCCCGGCGTCCCGCAGCGGAGAACGTCGGCCCCGGAGGCGTGCAGCGGCCCTCCAGTCCGCGGGAGCGCCCCCTCCACACCGCACGCGTCACCGCCGCGGGCGCACGGAGCCTCCGGCGCCTGTGGTCGGCGGCGCTGCCGGCGATCGGCCCGCACCCGCCGCCTGATGCCTGTCGGGAGGAGCAGGTGTGGAATGGCGCGAACTCGGCGCCAGCGACTCGCGCCGCGCTTCACGCCGACGTCCTGTGCCCCGGGGATGGGGGCGACGGCCCTCCCGGTGCCGACAGTCGCGGTGCGGCTGCGGCCGGCCGCCCCGCGCCGCCCAATGCCCCGCGGCGCGCGTCCGGCCGCCACAGTGGCGCTGAGCGCATGGCAGGAAGGGATCATGTCACCGGAGGGGCGGCCGCCAGTCAATCATTCCCGGACGCTGCAGGTTCCCCCGCAGTGATTGGGCTCCTAACCCGCTGATGGGCGACCACCACCCGGAGTGCATGTCAATGCGGGCGTGTGGAGAGTCAATGCGGTCGGCGGCAGCGACGACCTGCTGCTGATTGCGCTCGCGGCATTTGCGGGAGCTGTCGCCCCGATAACGTGCGCCAGGGGAGGGCCGGGATTGGGACTGAGCGCCGTGTCGGGCGGGGCCTAAGGAGCGCCGGTTGCGCCGTCCAACGGGGCGGATGTTGCAGGCCCGCGACGCAGCAATGTTCTGGGAAATAATCAGGGTGCTTGTGGGTCCAAATGTTGGCGGCGGGGGAGTGCACAACGGGAGCCCGCCGGCCTAGCGAAACCCACCACACCCGTAATTTCGCATGTGTACTTCCGGATCTTGTTGATGAGGGTGCCGGGGAACGAGCGACGCTCTTTTGAGGAGACGGCGGACCACGTGATGTGACTGCTAGATGGCGAGGTCGGAACGGCAAGCACAGGGGATTCATCTCCCGCGACGCGGCCGCGCTAGAGGGGGGCCTGCTGTCGGTCTTGCCTTCATCTCCCATTGGCGCGCATGTGATAGCTTTGGCGCTCTGGAAGGGCGCTCTCCTGCACAGTTAGCTGTGCATTATTCGACCGCCCGTGCACATGAGAGACAGTCTAGACTGTCTGGCGTTCAGCCATGTGCTTCGCATACAAGTGCAGCATACAAGAGGCAGGAGCCTGGCGACCTGCTCACACAAGAGCCTGGCAGCAGGTCCTGCTCCCTTAACAGGAGCAGAAGCATGTTCACCTGCAACACAACTGGTGTGTACAGAGCAGGCTTCAGAAAGTTTCTGACCCATTGTATCATTCACCACCCTTGGCGTGGGAACCTGACTGCTCAGCGCCTCAAACACCAATTCGTTCATGTTGTGGACGATTTCTGAACAACTGTTCCACCAGCGATCTGTCTAGACTGTATCTGCATTTGTTTGTGGACCTGAAATACATAAACTTTGGGTAGCAATGCGGACAGCGGCCAACCTCCACAGGCCACCTCGCAAAGTTTTAGCAGGTACAGGAATTTTGCACTGCAGGGTGTTTGGAATGCCCTGAATTTTGATTAGAATTTGCACTCTGAGAAGTTGTGGAGATCTGAAGCATTGAGCGGGTACTTGTCTGCATTATTGTGGAATACAGACTTACAAGAAGTCGTGACGCCCTAATATTTAATGCTACAGGCGAGGACTGGGGTGAGATTGTTGTAGACTTTTGAGGCTGTGCTGCTATAGCCCTGTCAGCAGCTTCTGGGGTGTGTTTAAATCAGGCACCAGATGCTCTTATGTCATAAACTCATGCACTGGCTCATGGTGGTAGCCACCACTAGTTGACCCTGATTAAACCAATTGGCGCTCTATGTCATTCTTTGTGTCGCTGCAAGGTTATCTGGCTGCATTGGTGCCTGAATCAGCATAGTTCCATTTGTTCACAGGCAGCATGGCAGCATTTGGCTCTGGGCCACTTCAGCACTTGCATATACTGCTTGTGGCCATCATTCTTGTTGAGTTCTGCGGCTTGGCAAGTTGTGGTGGCACAGATGACACACACCAGTTCCCGCCTGAGAAGAAGGACATGTCACCGATCATGATTGGTGTATTTCTTGCTGCTCTGGCATGTTTGGTGGTGGCCACTCAGTCTGCCTTCGCTGCCTACTTGGGTGAGCTCCTGGACACTGTTTCCCTGGTGGCTGAACCTTGCCTATGCAGTGAAAACTCCTGCATTGTGACGTTGTCTGGGGATTGTGGGATCTGTTGAGCAACATGCTGCTCCTGAGCGCTGTGCCAGTGCCACTGTCAGCGAGTTCATTGGCTTGTGCAGGTGAGGAATTCCACATCACACACGGGGGGCAGCCACTTGCGCATTTTGAACATCTTGGGCAAGAGTGGTTTTACCCCTCACCCCTGTGAGAGGTTGATTGTTCATGTTCTTCTGGTTTGCCGGCACTGTTGCAGGTGTGGCGGTGGCCAAGCAATGGCCGGAACCCAAGCTGTCAGGCATTCCCTACAACGACAGGATGCAGATCTGCTGCTCGGCCAGCGACGTTTCCCTTTACTCACTTAACATAGGGCTGGCTGTCTCGTGGGTTGTGGCACTGGCCATTTACACGTGGGTCTGGTGCGATCTGACTGGTAGCAACGGTTGCTGCACAGATTGGGTGTGTCTCCTCGTAGGGCTTGTCTTTTGGATGATGCCAGGCCTCCATGTCGTGGTTGCAGTCTACATGACAACGAAATTTGTGCAGCTGGGGTGGCCGTTGAGTGGATTTGAGGCGTCTTATGTGCCAGTTCCGGGCTCGGTCGTCACTGGTGTGCCTGATGTTGTGCCAGGAATGCCTGCGGACGACGAGCTGGGGCTCCTGGTAGAGGAATAGGCGACAGTGCTGAATTTGAGGTTGTTGATACTTGGGGCAAGGGTGCTAAACCACCAAATGGCAGCACTGTGCTGTGAGGATGAGAACGACGACCACTGGGAACATTCAAGCACCCACATGCTTTGGACGTGCTTCGAGACAACGATGGTGCACGACTTTTGCCTTTTCTTTATTGCGTATAAACTTCACGAAGAGAACTTTGATTTTTTTTGCCTAGACTTCTGATTTCATGCTGTGTGGTCGTTGGCGTTACTTCATGCTGCCAGCACCGCTGTCAAATGTAGACTGATGCTGGGTTCATGGTGATTGGATTTGGGACTCCACAGAAACGAAGTGGCATTGTTCATGAATTGAAGGGGTGGGGGGGTAACTTCGTTCCCGAAATTGGGGCGACCGCAATTGGCTGGGTAATATACTCCTGCTGGGTGCGCACATGCTATGGGGGCAGTTCGCGGCGCCTGTTGTCCGCAAACGATTGTGATGAGCCCAGGAATGCGTCTGACCCTGGAGGAGTGTGTGATGCCTGTACCATATTTGCGGCCATTCTTAGGAGTGGTCAAAACGGAACTAGATTTGATGGGTGTTCCCTGTAGCAGGATGCCAGTGCGTTGTCGAGGTGACAATTTTCAAGCCCTCCCCTGTAGTCCGCCGAAGCGTAGGTCCTCCATGTGTGGGCGGCAGGGCTCCTGTGCAAAGATCGATGGAAGACTGTCATGCACTGGGGCATGGCCGTGTAGGGGTGTGTTTCATGGGGCGCTGGGTTTTGCTCCTTGTCAAGTAGGGAGTGTGTTCTCACAAGTAGATGCAGGTCGAACACAATGCACCTGTAAACGAGAGCTCGAAGGCGTATTTTATTTGAACGACTATCACTCTGCTGTGACTGGTGGACCAAGCAGGAAGCCAAGAAAGGTAGTGAACACATGCCCGGCCTGCACTTTGAGGCACAAAAAGGGTGGGATCGTGTGTGTAGGACATCACTTTCGACCTAGCAGTGAAGGTCATCCTCATCCTGGGCAAGGAACAGCCTGTGGGCGCCTCAAACAGCCCGTTTGGGGCAGGTGTCCAAACATGTGGACATGGGACTGAGGCCCTGGGTTTGTTGCAGCACAGGGAAGGGGTAGCATGGGGAGAGTACCAAAGAAACAACGTCAGTGCTGTACCCCTGAGGGAAGACACTATTTTGAATTTTGTCTATTTAACGTCACATGGACGCAAATCTCAGAGAACCCCCCTCCATTCCCTCCTTCCCTCAGAGCATCTTTGCCAGTGGGCGCAACTGTCTGGGCATGCTATTGGGCTATCTGTATGGCGCTGCATGCCGAAAAGAGCATCCTTAATGGCTGGGGAGCAATAGCATCCTGATGCTATTAGAGCATCTTTATCAATCGGTGCTATTGCACTGGCAGAGCCATTCAGGAACGGTTCTCATTGGCTACCGTTCCACTTTACGAAGGTTGCATTTGCCGAATAGCACCAGTGCTATTGCTCCCCTGCACACATCCGCAACGGTGGGTGCTATTCCTGCACTGAATAGCATCGCGGCAGCACTACAATGTTCTGCGCGAATAGCAACGGGTGCGATTCTGGGGTGCTATTTGACATTGAGCATTGCTATTCAGGCCCCGACTAGCATTGCTTGGCACCAAATAGCATCGGCATTTGTTTGGGGCACAAATGAATGGAGCCAATGTAAATAAACGTATGGCTGCCATGCCACATGAGACTTCACACGAATCTATCAAGTTGATGCCTTGTAAAGCCCAGGATTCCAAGCCGGAATGGCCTCAGTTGGTAGTTTCCAAATGGTCCGGAGGGATAGCCCTTGTGCAATTTGCCAAGAGGCCACAAGGAACTTATAGGGGCCATCAGGGCCCAGATGTATGCTAGCGAGGGGATGATGACCATGCAATCCCGCCCAGCTAGTGTTGTGAATTCTTGATATTGCACATTGTGTTGTATTTCCAAGATTCGCTATAGGTTGTTAGGACTTGGACAGTTAGGTGTGAGTGGGTTATGTGTGCTTTCTCCTTGGCGTGGTTTTCGGTACGATGTGGGCGATGCGCCCACCGAGGCATCCGATGCAGCCTGGATGGGCCTCCTCCACCGGATGACCAGCGGGCTTTGCCAAGGTGCTCGTTCCTTCAGGTTCACAGTGTGGGCCCAGGCTTGCAGGTGGCCAGGCGCAGGGTGGTTGTGTGCATTGTGGGAGCATGGCACTGTGTGGCTCGTGGGTGCCTCTGCGGGGTGCGCAGAGTGGGCAAGAGAATGGAATTACAAATTGACGGGTGGTCACCCCTTTGAGGGGGTGGCCCCACCCTAATCATATGAAAATGCAACAATTAGGCTCAACGATAGTATCTCATCCCCCAATACGGTTCCGGCAAGGGGGTCTTAAGTGCTAGAAATGTATCTATCAGTACCTCCTCTACCAGTAACCCAACGGAGGCAGTTCAAGAACCCATACACTTCTAATGAAATTTACTTTTAGATGAGATTTTTCCATCGTAATGTTCATTGTACTTTAACCTCCCAAAAACCCAATTACTAGAGAAACAAGCTACCCCCTGTGCTTTACACCATACTTCTGGTTCCTTGGGGATATTCAAATTGATGCAACGAAGTTAGTGGTATGTGTTGGCGCAGGATGGAAGCGTGGTGGTCAGGCGCCTCTCGCGCCCTTGGTGGGCCAACAGCTCGCCCCGGATCGCAGATCCCCGAATCGATGCACGCGGGATCGCGCACGCACTCCGCCTCGGGTCAGGACACTCGGACACATGGCGCAGCGCAGCCGACATTGGCTGGCTCAAGGACACACCCGTGCAGTGCAATCGGTTGCACGGTTGGAGGAGTTCACTGGGGAAGAGGGGTCGCAGCCTTAAATCCGTGGCCGGACACCTCACCGTATCGGATTGCATCATAACCGTATCTCACCCGTATCCACCGTACCGCACCGATATCTACGATACGCCCAAAAATATGGCAGGGCAGACAAGCAGACAACCTTTCCTTTCGTGTTCCGATACTGTTCCGATTCTCAAACCGTATGCCCATCTAACCCATTAACCTCTAATGACCGCCCGTTTATACAACAGTATGGGGCGTCTGCCCTCTTTAAGCCGTGGACCTGCCTTGCCAGACACCTAGGTCCTTACAAGGACCTTGACGGGACCACCCCAACCTACTCCCATATCATATATCGTATGATAGAATAAGGTCCAGTTGGGATGATGTTACCGTATCTTGGGTAGGGCGTCCCCCACACCAAGAGGCCAGTAGTAGGGCATCCCCCACATCAGGCCAATATGCGTAAAATTTCGTCCTCAGGGAGCTGAGTAGAGGTGGCCATTCAAGGGTGCCATCCGGTCCGTTAAATCCGGTTCGTTAATTTTTATCAGCTGCCCGTTAAATTTCGTTAAAGAAAAAGGGAGAAAAATTCAGAAAAAAAAATCCGAAAAAATCGAAAAAACCCCCCAAAAATCACAACAACTGCGGCTAGTTGAAAATCTAGTATGCACAGGTTGAAATAAAATACAAACATACTCTCTAATAGCGAATTCCATAAACTATAAATATGAAAAAAACCCAAAAATCCCCAAAAAATCCAAAAATCCGCTAATTTTTGGTTAATTTTTGTCTTTTTTCGTTATTTTCCGTAAATTAACGGAAAATTAACGGAAATTAACCTCTGTCCGCTATTAACGGATCCGGGTGGCCACCTCTAGAGCTGAGGTGTCCCCGTTTCAGTGCGTAGATATGGGAATAGATACATGCGTAGCTCATAAGCCTGCTATATGCAGAAACTGATTGTGTATCGTGTCACATGCCCCCAGTTAACCACATCAGATGAACAAACAAATACTGAAGAGAAAGAGTGGTTGTTACATGGAAAATGGTTCTGCAGACAACCCTCATTAAAAGTCTTCCTTCAACTTTCCGGCTGGAAAGTTCACGCTAACCTATAATGTACAATTTGCTACCCTATGGCCTCCCGGCCTGCTCATGTCCAAGAAATGTCCAGGACGTATAGGGATCACCCTGCACATCCCCCTGTGTGACCTCCTTGGGCCATCCATCTATGACCATGACCATGCTGGGTGTAGCCTGGGTTTCTGCCTCTACCCCGACCACGGGCTGTTGCGGACATAAATGGCCCATCACCCTGTATCCTCTTGCCGCCTATGATGGTGATGAACATGGCGTCCATGTGGCCATACTGTGCATGAAGCTTGTTTTCTTGATAGCCGGTATTCTTCTGCACCCAATGCAGGAGTGCCTGTCACACACAAAAGAACAAACATGCTCATGTCAACGTGTACATATCATATTGTAACCAATTTGCACATTAGCAATAGGAGTTCTGCTGTTCTCAAATGCTTGAACCAATTCCTGTGCATTGGCAATTGCTTTTGCTGATTCTCAGCTATTATGCTCATGGCCGTAACCCAGCCATTTGACAAAGGTACTCTACAGAGTCCCGTCTACAACCACGCTATTTAATCCTCTTATCAAGGATGCGTTCAACCTTATATTCCAGTTACCCCTCAATCTCGATGGGGACTAGTAGTGGTTGTACTCTGCCACTAGCCTTGTAAGGCTTGAGTTTCGATACATGGAAAACCGGATGTATCTTACTCATGCTTTGGGGGAGTTATGATCGATATATGACATAACCTATCCGGTCAAGGATGGTGAAGGGCCCAATCCACCTCGGTAGTAATTTCTCAGTTCCAGGGTGCTTGAAGGTAATATGCTATGCTGAAAGGAGAACGCTATCTTCTTTGTCAGATGACACATCCCTCTGATGGCGGTCAGCATGTTTTGATTGCCTATTTTGTGCTTTCTCTAAGCACGCCCTAGCCTTTTCAGTCACTGAAATTCAGTGCTGATTGGATACGGTGATCAAATCGTGTTATGGCTGGTAATTAGACATGGCCGCTCAACTTTTTTTCTGTTAATTTACTTCTGTAATTTTTGTGAACACAAACAATCCGTCCATCGAT